CCCCCCCCCCCCCCCCCCCCTCCAAAACCCAATTTATCACCATTCAGGTACTAATCTGCCTTCCTGTTTTTGCGATCAAACTGAGTAACCTTGCATTTATCCTTCATCTGCCTTGTGTTTTTGCCCACTTGTTCAAGTCTAAATCATGCTGAAGCATATCTGTATGCTCCCCTCAGTTCACTGTTCCAATCAGCTCATGTCACAGAGTCATAGAGATGGACAGCCTGGAAATGGATCCTTTGGTTCAACTTGTCCATGCTGAACAGATGTCCTAAATTAACTTAGTCCCATTTGCCAGCATTTGGCTCATATCCCTCTAAACCCTTTCTATTCATATACCCCATGCAGATGCCTTTTAAATGTTGTAATTGTCCCCACCTCCACCAGTTTCCTCCAGCAGTTCATTCCATATATGCACCACCCTCTGTGTGGAACAGTTGCCTCTTGGGTCTCTTTTAAATCTTTCCCCTCTCACTTTAAACCTATAGCCCTCTAGTTTTAGACTCCACTACCCTGGGGAAAAGATCTTGACTATTCACCCTATCCCTACCCCTCGGCCTCCGAGGCTCCAGGAGGAATTGCCCCAGCCTATCCAGCCTCTCCCTTTAGCTCAAACACTCAAAGACTGGCAACGCCCTTGTAAATCTTTTCTGAACCCTTTCAAGTTTAACAACATCTTCCCTAAAGCAAGGAGACCAGAATTAAATGTTGTATTCCAAAAGTGGCCTAACCAATATCCTGTATGGTTCAACATGACGTTCCAGCTCCTATATAAATTCACTGACCTATAAAAGCAAGCGTACGAAATGCCTTCTTCACTACCCTTTCTAGCTGTGAGTTCCACTTTCAAGGAACTATGAACCTGCATCCCTTGGTCATTGTTCAGCAACACTTCCTAGGACCTTACCAAGAAGTGAACAAGCCCAGATTTGCCTAAACAAAATATAGCACCACACGTTTACCTAAATTAAACTCCATCTGCCACTCCTCAGCCCATCTGATCAAGGTCCTGTTGTACTCTGAAATAACCGTCTTTGCTGTCCACTACTCCACCAATTTTGGTGTCATCTGCAAACTTACTAACCGTGCCTCCTATGCTCATATCCAAATCATTTATATAAATGACTATATCAGTGGACCCAGCACTGATCCTTGTGGCACACTGCTGGACTCCATTTCGAAAAGCAATCCTCCTCCACTACCCGCTGTCTCCTACCTTTGAACCAGTTCTGTATCCGAATGGTTACTTCTTGTAATCCGTGTCATCTAACCTTGCTAACCAGTCTGCCATGCTGTCGAACACTTTACTGAAGTCCATGTAGATCTGCCTCGTCATCACAAGTCATCCACATTTAAGTTTTTTTTCATCTAAATCATAATTATATTTTGTGAATAGGGTTGCACTGACCTAGTGGTATGTTCTGGGTATGGCTTCACATCCGGTCATAGCAGATGATGGAATCTGAGTTCAATTCAACAAAAAAATCTGGAATTAAGAGTAATGATGACCATATACCCATTGTCAATTGTTGGAAACTATCATCTGGTTTACTAATGTCCCTTAGGGAAAGAAACTGCCATCATTACCTGGTCTGGCCTATACATGACTCCAGACCCACTGCATGTGGTTGACTCTTAACTGCCCTCTGGGTAATTAGGAGTGGGCAATAAATGCTGGCCTAGCCAGTGATGCATCCCATGAATTAATAACGAATGGCTGGGGTCCAAGCACTGATCCCTGCTTTTCTATGCTGGTCACTGGGTGCCATTGTAAAAAAAAACCTATTTGTTCTGACGCTTTGCTTCCTGTTTGCTAGCCAGTTCTGTATCCACATCAATACACTACCCTAATCCCAAGAGCTTCAATTTTACATGCTAATCTGTTGTATGGGGTCTTTTGAATGCCTTCTCAAAGCCCAAGTAAACGAACATCCACTGCTTCCTTATCAACTTTAAATGTTACATTCTGGAAACAGGATGATTTCCCTTTTGTAAGCCTGTGCTGACTGACTGTCCGATCCTGTCACTGTTTTCCACTGTTAGGCTAACTGGTCTATAATTCCACATTTTCTCTTCTACTTCCCTTTTTGAATTGAGGGGTTATATTAGCTATCCTCCAATTAATAGACTGTGGAACAGTTCCTATGGAATTTTGAAAGATGACCATCAATTTAGTCTATTTAGATTCAAGCCCCTAGTTTCAGAATGCGTCCACTATACCTTGCGCCACTTTTAAGTACTGTGAGGTGTAGATTAACAGGTGCAGGGATTTGTTGGCTTTTAATCCCATCAATTTCCCTGTTACAGGAAGGATATTATTAAACTGGAGAAGGTTCAGAAAAGATTTACCAGGATGTGTACTGTGCTGTACTGTTCTATGTTGCTGGGAATGGAGGGTTGAGTTATCAAAATGGGCTGGGCCTTTGTTCACTGGCATGTAGGATATTGAGTGGTGACCTTATTAGATGTTTATAAAATCATGAGAGGCATAGATAAGGTGAATAGTAAAGGTCCTTTCCCTAATGTTCAAAACCTGGGGGCATATTTTTAAGGTGAGAGGAGAAAGATTTAAAAAGGACATGAGGGACAATGTTTTTGCACAGAGAGCAGTTAGTGTATGGAATGAACTGCCAGAGGAATTGGTGGATGTAGGTACAGTTACGTTTTAAAAAACATTTGGATAATTTTATCAATAGGAAAGTTTTGAAGGGATAGGGGCTAAACACAGGCAGGTGGGACCAGTTTAGTTTGAGATCGTGGTCGGCATAGACTAGTTGGACTGAAGGGTCTGTTTCTATGCTGTATAACTCTAGCATTCCTTAGATACAAGGCCCAAAACTGCTCACAATTCCAAATGCCAGCTGACCAGACCTGTATTCTCAGCCCCTTGAAATAAATGTTGAAATGGCATTCGCCTTCCCAACTGCCAGCTGAATCTGTATGTTAACCTTAAGAGAATTCCTGAACTAGGACTCCAAAAACACTATTTACGCTTGAAATTTCTGAAGCTTTTCCACGTTTAGAAAATAGTCTATGCCTCTATTCTTCTGACCAAAGTGCATAACGTTATGCTTTCCCACATTATATATTCCATCTGCCACATCTTTACCCAATCTCCTGGCCTGTCCAAATCCTTCTGAATCTTGCCCGCCTCCTCAAGACCACCTGTCCCTCACCTGCTTTTGTGTCCTCTGCAAATGTGGCAATAATGCTTTGTCCATATCATGAAATGATGACATGAATAGTTGTGGTATCAACACTGACCCCTGTGGAAGTCCACAAGTCACTGGCTGCCATCCTGTAAAAGACCCCTTTATCCTGATTCTGTGCATTCTGCCAGTCAGCCAATCCTCTACCTTGCCACTGACACCATGCTTTTGTCTTATTTAGCAGCCTGCTGTATGGTACCTTGTCAAGGGCCTTCTGGAAATCCAAATAGATCATGTCCACTGGCTCTCCTTTGTCTAACTTGTTCATTACCTCCTAAGAATTCCAGCAGATTTGTCATGCATGACTTCCCCTTGATGAAACTGCTGACTCTGCCCTATTTTACCATGTGCTTCCAAGTACTGTGCAATCTCATCCTTAATAATGGACTCTTAAAAAACATTACCAACAACCGAGATCAGGCTACTCGGCGTATAGTTTCCTGCCTCTGCCTCCTTCCTTTCTTAAACAGGGGTGTTGCATTAGCCATTTTCGAGTCATCTGGGCCCTCCCTGACTACAGTGATTTCTGAAAGATCACCACCAATGCCTCTACAATCTCCTCTGCTATCTCCTACAGAAGTCTGGGGTGTAGTCCATCTGATCTTGGTAATTTATCGACCTTCAGACCTTTCGGTCTTCCCAGTGCCTTTTCCTTCGTAATGGCCGTTATGCTCACCTCTGCCCCATGTCTCTCAATTCTCTTGTACTGCAGGTGTCTTATGCTCGAAAAACTGATGCGAAGTACCTATTCAGTTCTACTGCTTTTTCTTTGTTCCCTAAAACTACTACTCCAGCGATCTAATATCCACTCTTGCCTCTCTGTAACCATTTAGATATCTTAACAGAAAAGACGACTGCAAGAGTTTTCTTTACTTGCTAGCTTTCTGTCCTATTTCATCTTGTGCCCCTCTTGTTGCTTTTTCAGTTACTTTCTTTGTAGAGGCTTCTTCATGTTCGACTTTCCACTAATCTTCATCACATTGTATGCTTTTGCTTTTATGCTGTCCCCGACTTCCCTTGTCAGCCACAGTTGCCTCATACTCCCCTTAGTATGTTTCAACAGGCAGTGAGCAACGGGGGAGGTGATGGCCTAGTGATCACAGGACTATTAATCCAGAGACCCAGGTAAAATTCTGGGGACCTAGGTTCAAATCCCGTCTTAACAGATGGTGGAATTTGAATTCAATAAAATATCTGGAATTAAGAATCTAATGATTACAGTGAATCCATTGTCGATTGTTGGGGAAACCCATCTGGTTCACTAGTATTCTTTAGGGAAGGAAACTGCCATCCTTACCTGATCTGGCCTACGTGTGACTCCAGACCCACAGCAATGTGGTTTACTCTGAACTGCCCTCTGGGCAATTAGGGATGGGCAATAAATGCTGCCTAATCAGTGATGCCCACATCCTGTTAATGAGTAAAGGATCTGGACAGTGAGGAGACAGGATTCAGAAATATGATGTTTGAGCGGCAGGGTCCCAGATTAGAGGCTACTGCTCCTTGTTTGTAAGCGTGGGGTGGCAGTTGTGGGACTTCGACTCTCATCATTTCTAGGCGCTGAGATAATGGCTGCTATCTTTACGGGGGCAGCAGGGCACATGTTGTCAGATTCTCTGCGCCAGGACACAATGTTGTGGGTGTCTCTCTTAGACTGATGGAGACGGGTTTGAGAAACTCTATTTACATGAGGTTTGGGGGAGAGCATTTACACACAGCAAACTCAAACCCAGTGGACGTTTGTCACTTTCAAATTTCTTCCCTGGGTTGACAGGCATGGATTTTAGTTAGCCCTGTTTATTATTTTACTGTAACTCCTGCCAACCATGTCTCAATGGGTTTTCCACCAGTGCCCATCCCCAGAGCCTGTGACAGCTCTACTCCATTTCTCTTCTGCTTCTGATATCTCAATGAGCATCAAATTTGTCTCCATTTTTATTTCCTGATTTCATTCTGCACACCCTAAAACATTCACTTTATTCCTCACTGCAGTTATGCTGTCGTAGTATCTTGCAATGATATTGTTGCAGGCATTTCTCAAAGCACTGAGTCTAGAAGCACTGATACACTAATGATGAGCTGCTTTATACCAGGGTGAGTGTAAGGTACAAAAGTCTTTTTTTTTTTTAATTGAGTCACAGAATCATTCAGTGATTACAACAGAAAGTAATTTAGCCCATCTTGCTGGTGCTGATCTGGTAGATCAGCTTCCCCCACTCAGATAGTAGGAACGGCCGAATTTCTGTAGAAGGGTCCAGACCCAAAACGTCAGCTTTCCTGCTCCTCTGATGCTGCCTGGCCTGCTGTGTTCATCCAGCTCTACACCTTGTTATCTCAGCTTTGCCCAGTCTCTATTTCCTTTCACGAACAAAATTGGCAGATATTGCCAGTTTTCAGTCGCCTGTGGAGATGATGTTTGATCTTCTTGAACCGCTGCAGTCGTGTGAAGGTGGTTCCTGATTACTGTTGGGTGAGGAGTTGCAGGTTATTTACCCAGCAATGATGAAGGAACATTGATATATGTCCAAATCCAAAAAATCAAATTTTATTTATGTATCACCTTTCATAGAACTGAACAGTCCATGACGATTGACAGGAGTGTGATAAAGCAACGTTTGACACTGAGTAACTTCAGGAGATGTTCGGGCAGATGACCGACAAACTTTTTTTTGTGGATTCTTTCAACTTTTTCTTAATGAGTGAGCATGTGAGTAATAGTGTGAGTGAGTTCAGGCATATACAATACTTGCCTTTATTAGCCGAGACATTGAATACAGAGCTAGATGGTGATGATGGAGTTGCATATAATGTTAGGTCATAGCTGGCATACTGTGTTCAGTTCTAGTCACACCACAATAGGAATGATATGATTGCACTAGAGTGGATGTGGAGGAAATTGACCAGGATATTGCCTGGGCTGGAGCATTTCCATTATGAAGGGAGACTAGATAGGCTGGAATTGTTTCCTTAAAACAGAAGGCTGAGGGCAAGGCTGATTGATCTGTACAAGATTGAAAGTCATAGATTGGGCAGATAGAAAGTAGCATTTCTCCTTAGAGTGTCAGTGATCGAGGGGCATACCTTTTAAGGTAAAGGGAAGGATCTTTTGGGAGGATTGAAGGAATAATTTTTTTCACCAGAAGATGGTGCATATCTGGAACTGACTGTGTGAAAAGATGGTTAAAACGGAAACCATCACATGACTGAAGTGTTTCGATGATCACTTGACGTACCATAGCTGACATGCTATGGGCCAAGTGGAGAATGGGACTAGAATGAATAGGCATTGTATCCATGTCAGACACCAATGAACTGAAGGTACTGTTTAAGATATGTAAAGCTATGTGACGCTGAGTGTGCATGAATGAGACATTTGTTTGGGGGACTCAAATGATGAATAAACAGGAAAATAATGTAAAAGATTTAGAAATGATATTGCCAGCACATTTTTGTAATGCCTCAATAACTTATCATTTGATACAGCATCCCTGATTAAATGGACAGGATTTCCATACAGAAGGCTCTAACTAAAAATTCAATAATAGTTTCAGACTATCTTGATACAAATATGATCAGCTTTAGCCTGTGGAGGGAGAAATATTTGTTTGTGGGGCAAGATTTAATTTATTACTGTGGAAGGAATGTTTAGACTTGAATGAGTGTGTACCGGTGGACTGATAGTGGAAAGAGCATGAACTAGTTACATAGCCTAGAAAATCGTCGACCATTCATTGGGGGGGGGGGTCCCACACAAGTTGTGTTGTAACTGATCACTCAATCATGAGGCATAATGACATCCAGAGCAGGGAGAAAACATATAAACATGTGGATTGAGGGAAGATCCAGTTTCCTATCATAACTTGAAGGTCATTAACTCAGAGTCACAGTGAAGAGAGGCCGTTTATCTTCTGTATCTGTGGGGAAAGGATTCTCTCAAAGCTTGCCCTTAAGAATACAAGGAACACTTAGGACAGATCATCAAAGGCTGTCAAAAGATTACATTTAAAGTACATCTTAAAAAGGAGAAGAGGGGGGGTTTGGGAGTGAAATTCAGAGCTTTGAGACCAGGAGGCTGAAAGCACAGCTGTCATTGGTGGTGGAAATAAATCCTGAAATGTGCAGGGAGACTGATCTCAGACAATGTTGAGCTGGAGGACGTTACAGAGCTTGAGTAGTGTGAGGCCACATAATGATCAATGCCAAGACTGAGGAATTTGAAATTAAGGTATTCTTCTTAAGAGGCCAATGGAGGTCAGTGAGCACATGAGTGATTGGGAATGGAATTTAATGCGTTAGGACACAGGCAGTAGAGAGTAAGGTGTGGAACACTGACCAGCAGTTCATTAGAATGAACAAGTTTTGACTCGAGTGTGTGTTTCAGCAATGAATGTACTGAGGTTGGGGCAGAGTTGGGCAATGGACGGAGCTGAAAATAAATGGTCAGTGATGCTGCAGAGGCTCAGATCCGTACAGGGAGAGTAGAGTTGGTGGATAAATGAGCATGGATTTGTGCAGTGACAAAACATTCAAAGATATTGGAAAATGTGTTTTGTTCCTTGAGGAACAGGGGGACAGTCTTGAAGAAATGAATCTGTTCACAATGACAGTGATGTTGGGAATTTTGAATGAGGAAGGTCAATAAAGTAGAAGCTGGGACTTGGGCCAGACAAGCTTTGAAAGGGCAGGACAGGAGAGAGAAACCAAACTGGAGGAAGATGTGGGATCAGGCTTAGAGAAGGAGCATTACGGGCTGTTTGGCCCAGTGGCAAATGGGGTGAGGGAAGCAGCAGAAGCAGCAGAGGCAGCTGATCGGACTGTCCATCTTAATGACAGGACCTTTGAGCTCCTCACACATGCTGGAGGTGAAGATAGGGAAGACTGGATGAGGGAGAGCATTGAGAAAGCATTAATCATACAAAATAAAATTACTTAACATGCTACATTTAACAAAAAGATAATTGAAATTTTTTTTTGCTAGAACATTAACACCAGTGACTGAGCTGAAGTTCATTAACATCAGTAGAACCAGACCTCGGTGAACATGGTTCAGTCCTGGATGTGATTCACAGCAAAATCCAATCCAGTTGAAACCTAATGCCTGTGATCTCCTAGTATCTCAGCAGGTGGGATGAGTTAGTGAATGTCTTGCCAAGGTCGGAGCAGATGAACAGTCTCTTCCCAGTGTGAACGCTTTTGTATGTTAGCAGCGTGGATGATTGAGCGAATCCCTTCTCACAATCTGAGCAGATGAATGGCCTTTCTGTACTGTGAAAGATCAGTGAGCTGGAATTTGCAGTCTTTCTCTCTGAGATACTGCCTGAGCAGCTGAGGATTTGCAGCACTTTCACTTTCTTGCAGATTTCTCTCTGCCGTTAATTCTTGTCTGTTGTAGGGATTGTTCCCAGAACCCAGTCTCGAATCACAGGCAGATCAGTCAAAGAGCTACCTTACATCTGTGTCCTTAAGTGCTGTCACTATCTCCCCTCCCATTGAGGGCTGAGTCTTGTGGAGGCCCAGGACATGCAGTGGGTCCCCTTCCCTGAAGGTCATTCATGAAATAGTTGAGCATTTATGACAATCCAGTAACTTTTCATGGTCACTATTTCTGTGTATCTTTTATACAAATTAACAGATTCAATGAACTCCATTTCTCACCCTCCTTTAGTGTCTTAACTACTTTCTTTCTCATACTCACCTTTTCCTAATTTAAATGTATTTTACAGAGGCACGTTTATCAGCAAGAATTCCAAACAAACATCCCGTCAAGATCTGAGAGTGACTCGATTCATCAGGAGTCGAAAACCATTTATATTCAACGATTGTCTGTTTTGTCTGAGAAAACCTTGCAAACGCACCGTTACTGGAAATGCACTGAGGCACATACACCCGAGTGAGTGTTCCAGTGAACTGACTGTGAAGAGAGCTCGACCCAGACAGCCTGAATAACATCACTACCATTCACAGTGGGGAGAAACTATCCTTGCCTCGTGTATGGGTAAGGAGTCAGCTGATCAACCAAAATGGAGAGATATGAGTACAGCTGCAGCACAGAGAAACCATGGAAATGTGCAGACTGTGGGAAGGGATTCAAACGCCCGTCCCTGCTGGAAACTCATCGACGCAGTCATACTGGGGAGAGGCCACACACGTGCTCAGTTTGTGGGAAGGGATTCACTCGGGCATCTGCCCTTCGGATACATGAACGCACTCACACTGGAGAGAGGCCATTTATCTGCCCTGAGTGTGGGAAGGGATTCAGTGGCTCATCCACCCTGTGGAGACACCAGCGAGTTCACACTGGGGAGAGGCCATTCATCTGCCCTGAGTGTGGGATGGGATTCACTCGGTCCGCCCACCTGCTGACACACCAGCGAGTTCACACTGGGGAGAGGCCATTCATCTGCCTCGAGTGTGGGAAGGGATTCACTCAGTCAGCCCACCTGTTGACACACCAGCGAATTCACACTGGAGAAAGGCCGTTCCCTTGCTCTGAGTGTGGCAAGGCATTTTCTCAGTTATCCCACCTTAAGACACACCAACTGGTTCACACTGATGAAAGACCTTTCAAATGTTCGCACTGTGAGAAGAATTTTAAAAGCAGATGTGATGTGCTGATACACCAACGCATTCACACTGGGGAGAGGCCATTCCCCTGCTCCGAGTGTGGGAAACGATTTGTCCGTTCAAACAACCTTCTGAAACACCAGCAAATACATATTGGTGAGAAGTTGTTACCTGCTCCCTCTGTGGGAAGAGATTTATTCAGTCATCCCACCTACTGAGACACCAGTGAGTTCACAAGTGATTTGTAGGGCAGGTATCTTTTGCTGTTATTTTTCTTGATAAAACCTTGATCTATCCCCTGGAGGACCAGGAAGCAGATGCAGTGGAATGGGGAAATATGTGGTGCTTGTGATGTGTCATGAGGAGCCCAGCAGAGCTTGGCATTGCATTACTCTAAACACGAGTGATAGCGAAAGAGAGAGACTGTGACTTTGGTTCATCATGTTTTAATTCATTCATTCAAAGAGCATCCCATTGCAGACAGAGCTGGGCACACACAGACACAACACACGATTTGTAGACACTCAAACACAACTATATAGAGATACAAAGAGACACCATGTCCCTCAGAATGTGAACTGAAAGAACTGTAGATGCTGTTAATCCAGAACAAAAACAGAAGTTGCTGGAACTGTTCTGAGGAGGGGTCACCGGACCCGAAACGTTAACTCTGATTTTTTTTTTTGTCTCCACAGATGCTGCCAGACCTGCTGAGCTTTTCCATCAACTTTTGTTTTTGTCCCTCAGAATATGGTCAGGGTTGATCTGTTTAATAAACTCAAGTTTATTTATGCAGTAGATCTGTGTGACTACTGTTTGTTTGTTAAATAGATTGACTCATTTGTAGAATTATCAAACTCATTAGAGGTGAACTTGCTGACTTGTTCATTTCAGTCCCACTTGCACCTTGTGTTGATCTATATGAAAATCTTGTTTCCCTTGTGGAATAAACTTGTGTCCATTGGTTGCAGAAGCCTGTGTCCTGTTGTCTTATTGACCCTGTGTTGTGATTGCTGCCGGTTTGAAACTGCAGTTTTGTCTGTGTTGGATTTTGCGTCTGGGGCCTCTGTCTGTGAGTTGAGGTGGGGGAGGAGAGGGGCAAACAGAAGCAGTCTGGACTAAATTATTGAACTACTGCTTTCTCTCTCACCTCCCTTCCCCCATAATCTCACCAAGATGCCTCTTGGTGTGCTCCAGAAAGAGGAGGCTGGAAGCTGATTAAATGAGCTGGTATTTGGGCAGAGAGGGGGCTTTGAGTGACAGACCTGAAGGTATTTGAAGTAGGCCTCGGCAGCTGTAGTTCCCTTTTTGTTGTGTGGATGGAGCAGGAGGTGAGTATCAAGAGTGTGTGAGTGAAAGAGAGGGAGGGAGAGAGAGTATGTGGGTACTGTTGAAATCTCAAAGCTTGTTTTGATTGTTTAACCACCACCCCCACCCCCACCCCCACCCCACCCCACCTCCAAAGCAAACCCCAAGAGCAGGGTCTGTCCCTTGTGGGAGAAGGGGAAATGAGAGAGCTGGAATGATAAGTATCCCCTCCTCAGTGTCTCCATGTCTTTCCTAACTCCTGTCTGGTTCTGCATGACCTTTTATTCCCTTTACTTGCTCTCTGTGTTTCGATCTGTGTCTCTTTCTCCGTTCCCTGCCTGTCTTTTCTTTTTAACCTCTCCCCTCTCTTTTACCTTTTATTCCCTCTTTCTCATTGTTTCTTTTCTCTTATTTCTGACTCTTGCCTCTTATTTCTGCCTTTGTCTCTGTTCATAGAATCCCTACAGTGTGGAAACAGGCCCTTCAGCCCAACAAGTCCACACCGACCCTCAGAGCATCCCACCCAGACCCATCCCCCTATAACCCACCTAATCTACACATCCCTGAACACCACTGGCAATTTAGCATGGCCAATCCACCTAGCCTGTACATCTTTGGACTGTGGGAGGAAACCTGAGCACCCAGTGGAGACCCACGCGGGCACAAGGAGAATGTGCGGAGTTTGCACAGACAGTCACCTGAGGGTGGAATCGAACCCGGATCTCTGGCGCTGTGAGGCAGCAGTGCTAACCACTGAGCTGCTGTGCCTCCCCGACCCATTTCTTTGTTCCCCTCTTTTTATTCTCCCATATCTCTAGTTCACCCCCTGTCTCTCTGCAGACCCTGGCCAGGTTTTGCAGCCCCTCCACAAATTATATACCCCCAAAATTATTCAGTCCTCACCCCCAGGTTTTGTGTCCCCACCAAATTTTGCAGTCCCCATTATTGTACCCTCTCTCAAATTTTATACCGCAGAGTTTTTGCCACTCATAATATTGGTACTGGACCCCCCCTGGGTTTGTGTGGACCCCTCTAATTTTGCAAACACCTAAATCTTGCTTTGCCCCAAAATTGTGTCCCCATTCAGATATTGCACTCCCCCAAAATTTTTCCCCTCCCTAAATAGTGCCCCACCAAACTGTCACTCCGTTTTTTTCACAGCCCCCCAAGTTTACACCCATCCGTAGTTGTGCCCCCTAATCTTGTACCTAACCCTCCAGTTTTACACCACCTAATATTGTTCCCTCCTGCAGCCCCCACAATTTTGCTTCCTCCAAATTATGCACTGCCTCATTTTGTCCCCCACCAGGTCCTCATCTGTCCCCAGATATACAACACCCGCTATTTTGGTGAGCCCCCAAGATTTTCTGTCAAATTTTGCATCATAAATATTGACCCCCCCCCACCCCAAGATATTGTACTCCACCATTTGCAGCTCTGCCTACCAGATTATGTAGCCCTCTGCAACTTCCTCCCAATTTGTGACCCTCCAGGTATTGACCTTACAAATTGTGCTTCCCCAAATTTTGCAACCGTCCCAATTATTCAGCTCCACCAAATATTTTGCAAGCTGCAACTTCCCCATTTTTGCAACTTCCTAATGCTGGCTCCCCCCACCCCAGATGTTGCACCCACCCAACAATTCTGTGCCTGCCTTCACAAATTTGGAGATCACCTGCCCCCAATTTCTGACACTGCCCCAAATATTGTCCCTGCCCCATTTTTGTGCCTGTTCTCAATTTAACACCAAGCCCACATTTTGTGCTGCCACTCCCTCCATTGCACACCCTCCAATTTTTGCTCCTTTCCAATCACACTTGCTCCACGCCCCCCAAATTTTACATTTTTTCTTTGACACCCAATATTAAACCACCATGAATACTTCAAATAGATTCCAGTCTGCAACTCACTTCTGGACATCTGTTATTCTGTATATCAACCACCCCAATCTTCAAGACAGTAACTCATTCCTGGGTTTCTGTAACTCCACATAAATCACCTCAAACCCCTCAATCAGATTCCATGCTGTAACTCACTCAAGTAGCTATTAACCTGAATATAAACCACCTGATCTGCTCAATAGAGACCAGTCTGTAACTCTCTCCCTGGTACCTGTTGTTGTTTTGTCTGTATCTGTATACTCTACCTGTATATATGTTACTGTAAATCCCTCAGTTAGATTTCAGACCGTAACTTGCTCCCCAGCACGTGTTATGCTCTATGCAAAACTCCCCAATTCCTTCAATTAGATCCCAATTTGTAACTTATTCCCTGTTTTGTTATGCTTTATATAAATTTCCTCAGAACATCAATGAGATTCCAAACTCTTAACTCAGTGAAAGCTGCAGTTTTAATTTCTGCTACATTCTGTTAGTTTTATGGAATGCAGCAGTTCAATAATGCAGCTCACTACCATCTTCTCAAGGACTGATAGGAATGGGGGTATAAATACTGACCCAGCCAATGATACTCTCATTGCATGAACAAATGACAATCCCTTTGCCTTCCTAATCACTTGCTGCCCCAGGCGACTGACTCAATGTGATTCATATCCCAGGACACTCAGATCCCTCTATACCTCACTGTCCTACAATATCTCTCTCCATTTAAGATTCTTCCTGACAAACATCACATTTTCCACTTTATGCTGCATTGGACAATGTTTTACCCACTCTCTGACCATCTCCACATCACTCAATTTGAATACCTCTTACACCCTCCTCACGAGTTATCTTCCTATTATACTATTTTCAGCAAGAAAATATTCAATTTTTAAATTAAAGACTGATGCCTGTTGGAAATCCAAATATCCTTCTGTTGCTGTCTGTCCCTTGGTCAATGTGTGTCTTTTTCTCTCTCCTCTCCCAGAAATATCCGTAAATTGCCACATTCATCTGTTAGCCTTTTTGGGTTGGTTCATGGTGACCATGTGCCCTATACAATCACAGCAAGACTTTCTCACTTCCCTCATCCCATCCCCTGATAATAGCTGGCAACCCATCCGTTGTCCTCCTAGTATTTGGTGACACCAGCACCTTAGCTTTCTGTGATTTGTGTACAAGAACCCAGACAATAGTATTTCTCACATGTCACTTCCTTGTGAAAAGCTTTCCCTCTCTGCTGCCTCCTTCATCCTCACCACCAAGTGTGAAGAACTTTGACCTCTTAGAAGATGTGACCAGGAGGGTGGAGAAAGAAGACTAGATGTTGTGTATTTGGATTTCCAACCAGCATTCAATAAGTTGGCAGGTAAAAGGTTTCTGTACAAAATAAGAACTCATGGTGTTGGCAGTTAGTGTGGCAGAGGTTTGGCTGACTGAGAGCTGGAATAAATGGTTATTTTTTTTTTAGGTTGGCAAACTTTAACTTGTGGAGTACCACAGATCGGTGGTGGGACTTCAACTATTTGCAACCTATACCACTGACTTGGATGAAGGAGTCAACTGTAGCGTAACCAAAATTACTGAGCAAGATGTGAGGTTAGACTGAACCTGCAAAGCAAGAAATGTACTGGGAAAAACAAAATGACAGTTCAAACTTAATTGTGGGAAAATGTGTGGATGTCCACTCTGGCAGGGAGTATAGAAAAGTAGAGTAGTCCTTCAGTGGAGGAGGCAGCAGAATGCTGCATTGCAGAAGGCTTTGGGTGTCTTTGGATTGCATACAGTAGTATGCAGGTAGAGCAAGTATTCAGGAAGACAATTGGATTGTTAACCCTGAATTACAAGTCTCATTGTGATTGCACAAAGCGTTGGTGGGAATGCCCTCAGGTACTGTGGATAGTGTTAGAAATAAAAGTCACATCTGTGAAAAATACCAAGGTATGGAACTATTTGGACACATGCAGAATGTAAAGGATTTTTAGTTATTTATTTGGAAAATTGGGTCAAATTTAATTGCTGCTGTGGTTTACTTGCTAAATACAGAAAGTCAAATGATTTTCAAGATTTAATAAAAGACAAGTAAAGCTTTTTGGGAGATGGGATTTATGGAAATTAATTACTGGAAAACATGACTTTTTAAAAGACTATGGGGAATTCTGAGTACTGACGGTTTTCCTAGTAACCCTTTTCGAGTCTTGATCTGTGTTTTCACTGAGCGAAGTGGTCAGTACAGAAGGAAACCCCAGAAGTTGCAAGTCTCTCACCTTAGTTTATCAATAGAAGTTATTAGGAACCTGATATACTTTCCAAATATCAGTATTTCTGACTACTTTCTAATTCCTGAAAAGCTGAATGTTACCACTTCTCAAATACTTGATCCAGCTTGATTTCAATCCAAACTGAAGATCTTCCATCCTATGGCTGTCAGCAATTCAATTTCATCAACAAGTGGACCATGAAGATTCATGATATTCTGTTCTTTCATTGCAGAGTCTTGGACCTTTTTTAAAAATAGTAATCTCTGCAGTGTCCTTTGTGTTGTGTGTGTCTTTAAAGGAGTATAGTTTTTATTCCAGATAATAGTTTATATGTTAACCAGAGATTGCTGTTAGTTTTTAGAGTCAGTTTTGATTTATAATGAATGGATTACTTTGAAAATTTGTTTAAAAGAAGTCTGGTGCAAGTCTCCTTTGTTCCCTGTAGTAGCACAGTTGGGAATTAGTTGGCTGTTTTGGTGAACAAATCAGTGCAACTCCACAGAGACTGACACTGGTGGTATCATGGGGCCGTACTTTAATTGATTACCAACATATTCCTCCTGTTACAGTCCGAACAACAGCTCGAATCTGCTTCCTTCAGGAGGGCTATATTTGCATTGGAAACAATTCTTAAGAGGTTCCAAAGGGCAATGCCCAGGATGAAAGGTTTCTTATTTGAGGAATAATTTGGGGTTGACTGTTGATCTCGTAAAAACAAAATTCTGATGGGACCTGACAAGTTAGCTGCTGAGAGGTTGTTTCCTCTTGTGGGGGAATCTAGAAGAGGGAAACTGTTTAAGAAAAGAAGTTTTGGTTTAAGACAGAGACAAAGAGGAATTTCTTCCTTGAAAAGTTTGTGTGTGTTTAGTGAGGGAGCTATGCAGGCTTGGCTTTTGAAAATATTTGAGGCTGAGGAATAGAATTTTCATCAAAAAGGGACAGGCAGTAAGCTCAGTCATAAGCTTACTGGATGGTGGACCATGATCAATTGGCCAAATGTCTAATTCTGCATTTATTTCTCATGTCCTGACCAGTTCATTGTTAATTTCCTGTGATCAACTGCTTTTGTTCTTAATATCAAGAACACAATGATCTTTTGTATCATATGAAAATTTCTATGTCCCTACATCTCATCTGCATCAATAATATAATTCAGGACTGAAGGACCCAGGACTGAGCCCATTGGAACATCACAGGAAACAACCATCCTGTCACATAAACAAACACCCAGTGACTATTATTCATTGCTTCCTACCATCCAGTCAACTTTGGATGGAAGTTGTAACTTGTGCTTGGATTTTGTGAGCTTTAATTTTATACTCAGTTTGCCATGTAGGACCTTGCTGACCTGGACATAAGTCCACCTCTGGGCAAGATCCTAAATGAATGGCCATGATCACAAGGTGGTTACTCATAAATCCAACAGGGAAATAAGGGAAAATGTCTTTCCTCAGTGTAGTTGGGATGTGGAGCTCACCACTACAGGAAGTGTTTCAAACAATAAGCTGAGGTATTTCTAAAAGGAACTTAGACAATCACATGTAAGAAACAGGAATGTAAAAAGAAACTGAAAGGCCAATGAAAAGTGGTAGATAAGCTGAAGACAGGGTGGGGACAAGGATAAGAAGAAAAAGTGTGAGCGATAGTATACCAGGGAGAAAGAAATGCCGATAATGGGGGCTATAAGTAGGTGAAAATGAGTTGGCTGTGCTGAAGGCAGCCTATGTCATGACAAGGCCTGGGCTATGGTGCTGCAAAATGGACACAAGGCATAGGAGCAGAAGTAGGCCATTCAGCCCATCAAGTCTTCCACCACCAAAAGAGATCATGGTTGATCTGATCATCCTCAATTCCACTTTCCTTCCTTATCCCCATAACACCTGATTCTCATATTGATTACAATTCTGTGGACACACCACAAAGTTCTCATTGGCAGAAGAGCCTTTAAATGATTGATTGCAGGATGTGATGTGCTATCAATGTGTTCACACAGACAAGAGAGTATCTAACAGTGAGATTGGCTGTAAAGGATGATGTGAACTCATTACCCACCAGCAAATGCACACCAGGGAGAAAACCATCATCTGTTCTGTGTGTGACAAAAGATTCGAATTGGTCATCCAATTCATTTTCCAGCAACTTGCACATTTTGATAAGTAAACTTTTCAACATTCTGTGGTCAGATATGTAAAACAAAATGGAATTGCTGTCCCACAAACCCACTGACACTGTGAGAAGCTGTTCACCTGCTTGGTGTTAGGGACGATAGTCACTCAGTCATTCCGCCGACTGAGGCACTTGTGAGTTCACCAGTGACTGCAGGGGTTGGATTCTGCTGTTACTCACAGCCAGGACTGAATAATGTTCTGATAGTTGAGGTTTGCTTCTGTCCATATTAACATTTTTTTGTAACCAGGCTGTAACTTGATATTTTGGATACATGGTTAATAATTCAGCTTTACTTAAATACATTGCTGTGGATTTTTCTTTCCTATCGAAGTGTTTAACTGAGCACCTGCTGGAGCGCAGAAACGATAATCTGGGGAGGGATCAATGGCAGCAACAGAATTTCAGCCTGGACATAGTTCTTCAGAGTCACAATGAAAGGGACAAATAGCACTTTGATCTTTCTCATCTCTCTTCTCTGACAGCAAAGTCTCCATGTGGGTTAATCCTGAGGTGGAAGAAATGATTCCCAGCTGCACTTTTCAATGGTTCAGTCTCTTCGATACAGAACAGAAGCTCCTTTACGATGATGCTTAGAGTCAGGAAGAACAACAATGAATGCTGGAAACACGCTGTCAAATCAGAGACTGGTGTCAAACTGTGATCTGTCCCTGCCTGAAAGTAAAGCAACAGGTTTAAATATCCAGTCTTTAACCGACTACCCACTACAAAGTAACCACCACCTCAAAGCTGGTGTTAACTCTTAAAACAGACCTGCTTGAAATTGTTTAAAGTCTGCCTTAAATAGCAGATGGAGAGTTCACATGAGCCTGTTAACCTCAGTTACAATTATATAAGAGATTATATATAATTATAATTATAATTATAATTATATATAATCTCCAGATAAAGAAGGACCTACAGGAAATCCCTGTTGTATTTTGTGAGATACTAGAATAAAGAAAAATAAATACATTTAAGAAGACATGAAATGTTATTGCAACACAGGAGGAAACCATTCTACCCATCAGATGCTTTTGTACATGATTTATAGTAAACAATGATGCTAGTTTTCAATGGTATTGTGTTCTGTCCATTCTGTCCCAAGCTCTCAGAAGCTGCTAGCAATATTCAGACTTGGAGTCAGGGGGTGACCACACCCAGAGAAATGGTGGTTAGCAGCAAGAAAATGCCTGATGACAAGATGAGCAGCAGCGGGTGAAGGGCTTTGAGGTGAAGCCTCGCAATCATGCTGCAGGGAGGATTACTGTGAGGTCAGCCCTGACAAGCACAGACAACACCGCGAGAGACACACACATGTCACGTCAGATGAACAATGTTTTTCACCTGATCCACTAAGGAAGGTGGTGGGCCCAAACATTACAAGTAAGAGCAGGGCAACAGTAAGCTTTCAGGCCATTCAGCTCAGATCAGAGGTTGCAGAACAGAAACTGCACTGTGGCAGCTACAGGTGAACAAGCACCAACCTCCATTTTACAATGTCCCTACTGTGGCAGCAATAAGATCGTCGGGGGAAAAGAAAGCATTGGTACCAGTTAACCATCTGTGCTAGCTTTCTGAATGAGGTATCAATTCAGTGTCAATTTTGCTGCTTCTTCCCATTACATCTGGGAGGAACTGGGCATTTTGGCTGCTGTAGGATGCTGTCTTAATCATCAATTCACCGAGCTTCAATCCCTCAACTCCTTCCTGTAACACTGGGTGCCTCTCTGACTGAGAAATTCACAAGTGAAATTCCTACAGCTTCTTCCTACTCAGATAATAAACCAATTTCACTTTGAATATCTCAATTGATTCTGCCTTGACCACCCTCTCAGGCAGCACATTCCAGATATTAACCACAACAAAAACAAAGTTGCTGGAAAAGCTCAGCAGGTCTGGCAGCATCTGTGAAGGAAAAAACAGAGATAATGTTTCAGGTCCGGTGACCCTTCCTCAGAACTGAGATATTAACCACTTACTTTCTCCTCATGCCTCAATTTTCTTCAATATCCAAGCACCTTAAGATTTTACCTTCGTTTCCCATGAGTCAATGGAATGGAATGTTTTACCACTGTTGTCATGGCAACCCATCTGCAGCTGAAGTGACTTTTGAGTCTCTAACTCTGCCCACTCCACTACTGTTTCCCCATCAGCCTTTCTTTCAAGCACTTATCCAATTTCCTTTTCAAAGTACCTGTTCCAGCACCAAACCTTCAGACACTGCATTCCAGATTACACCAGCTCATTGTGGAATGAACTGTTTCTCAGGGTGTCTCATTCTGCTCTGAAGCCACCAACTTCACTTACCCATGATGAGACAGAAGAAAAACTGGAAGAATTTTCATTGGAACAAAGCAGAATCTAAGCTGCATCAATAACGAGATTTGTGGCTAAAACTTGCACGGGAACAAGATAGTTCTTGTTCGCATACAGGAAAGGGAAGAAAAAGATTGGGTGGCCATACTGATTGCAGCTGGTTTGTAGATTTGCTCCATAGATTAAAGTGGAATTGATGTTTAAAGTGAAGAAACAAATTCAGCTGAATCAGTGAATGAAGGAAAGAGCTGGCACAGTGGCTAGCACTATTGCCTCACAGCGCTAGCGACCCAGGTTCAATTCCACCCTTGAGTCGCTGCCTGTTTGCAGCTTGCACATTCTCCCTGTGTCTGTGTCTGTGTGGGTTTCCTCTGGTTTCCTCCCACAGTCCAAGGATGTGTAGGTTAAGTGGATTAGCCATGGGGAATGCAAGGTTACAAGGATAGGGTGGGATGCGTTTCAGAACGTCAGTATGGGCTGAATGCCTGCTTCCACAATGTAGGGATTCTACAATTTTATCCCACATAGCAGTCCTTCAAGGTACATTGCAGACCAAACATCTCAAATCAGCTCCACTTTCACATCAGGAGACCTCAAAAATTCTACACACTGTCCACAGGGAGGTTCTGTAATGGGACTAACTTTACTGTTTTAAATAACATTACCACCAAAAAAAACTTGATTAAATCGTTACTTATCTCATTGCTGTTTGCTGGATTTTGCTGTGCACACACTGATTGTTGTGAAACAACAAAGAGGTTATTCAAAAGGAATCAACTTGTCCTAGTGATCAAAGAACAAAGAAAATTACAGCACAGGAACAGGCCCTTTGGCCTTCCAAGCCTGCGCTGAGCCAGATTCTCTATCTAAACCTGTCGCCTATTTTCAAGGATCTGTATCCCTCTGCTCCCTGCCCATTCATGTATCTGTCTAGATAAGTCTTAAATGACGCTATCGTGCCCACCTCTACTGGCAGCGCGTTCCAAGCACCCACCACCCTCTGCGAAAAGCACTTTCCACGCATATCTCCCTTAAAAACTTTCCCCCTCTCACCTTGAAATCGTGACCCCTAGTAATTGAGTCCCCCACTCTGGGAAAAAGCTTCTTGCTATCCAAGGAAAGGCTTGACACACTTTGACACTTATCCAGAATTCCAACAACCAGAGCTGGGCTGGAGATGATTAAAATCATCAGAAACAGATTGCAACTGTCCGAATGAACATGGTTCAGTGTTGGATCTAATTAACAATAACAGCAGAATCCAATCTTTGCAGTCACTTGTGAAAACATTGGTGTTTCCGTAGGTTGCAGAAATGAGCAAATCTCTTCCCACACAAGGAGCAGGTGAATGGCCTCTTCCCAGTATGAACCCACTGGTGTAGTGAGAGATCAGATGATCGCCGGAATCCACTCCCACAGCGAGTGCATTTAAATGATCTTTCATCAGTGTGAGCAGTTTGATGGTGAGCCAGAACCCTAGAACTTTTATCACACTTCCCACAGTCTAGGCATTTGAAAGGGTTTATCCCCACCGTGGACTCGCCAGTGTATCAGCAGGTTGGATGAATTAATGAATCCCTTCCCACACACAGAGCAAGCGAAAGGTCTCTCCCCATCGCTGATGTATCAACAGACTGGATGATCGCCTGAATCTCTTGCTGCAGTGAGAACATTGGAATGGGGAGTACTTAATGGGAATGTACCGGTGCTCTCTCAGTCAATATGGACATTTAAAGCTCTTATCCCAGTCAGAGCATTGATATTGTCTCTCATCATTGAGAGCTTGCTGGTGTCTCAGCATCACAGACAAAAACATGCATCTCTTCCCACACACACAACAGGTCAATGGCCTCTCTCCATTGTGAACCTGCTGGTGTGTCAGCAGGGTAGATAAATAAACAAATACTTTACAGCATTCAATCAGCAGAATGACCTTCCCCTGTATGACTGCATCGATGACATTCTAGCTCATAGGGATAATTGAATCCTTTCCCATAGTCCCCACATTTACATGGTTTATTCCCAATGTGACTCCGCTTGTGTTTTGAAAATCCAAATGATCCACTGTAGGCTCTTGCGCGCACAGAACATGTGTACAGTTTCTTCCCACTGTGAATGGTGCATTCTGTTTCCACGATCAAAGGCCGTTGATATTTAGATCCTGAGGAACTGAGCATCACTGTCAGATCATGATATTTGGGTTTTTCATTTGTACATCCTCTCCTTCTAGTATCTGGTGAAATGAATTGGGAAAAGGGAATGAGAGAGAGAAACCACAACAATACAAAGACCAGATTGTGAAACTGAGCTGAATGGATCTGGTATTTTGTGGGGTCAGCATGTGAAAAACAAAAGAGATTATGAAAACTGGCAGATTGTATTAAAAAAGACTAGATGTCAGTGTCCAACAGGAAATGGAACCTGCCAATAGGTTTGAACCTAGACAAGAGGGGTCAGGAAGTTAGCAAAGAAGGATTTCTATCTTTGCATCTCAATGTGATGTTTGACAGAACCTGTCACCTCCACAACCTGCCAAGAGCAGCAGGTGCATGGAAACATTATCTCCAAATCCACTTCAAGTCACACACCATCAGATTGGATGTAAATAGCAATTGCTGGATTGTTGCTAGGGGAAGATCCTGTAAATCCTTACTTGAAAGCATTGTGGTTGCATCTTCACCACCTTGTCTGCAGCAGTTCAGTGAGAAGGAAACTTCCACCTCAATGGGTAACTTGGATTAGACAAATGGTCTCACCAGTGACACCCATATCTCAGGAATGAAGTAAATGCTGTCTTTAGAGATACAATGGATGAAAAGACCTCACAGGTATACTTCTGATGAAAGCAATGTGCTTCTTCTAATGCAGTGGGGGTACATTATAGATTTAGCAACCAATTTTCCTCAGAATCTCACTTTAAAGTCTCACATTGGAATTTGTTGGGCTCTGTGTTCCAAAGTATTCTGGGTTAAACCCTGCAATTTCTTCTTCATCTCTGCTCCAGCTGAAACTGCTCTTGAACCCAACACCCATCCTAATTCAAGTTAAACTGAACCTTAATTGGTCTCTCTGTGTTTCCTACTTGGCTTGTATTGAAATAGAAGCCAAACAGGGTGATTTCGGGAAATCTGAAATAGAAAAGAAAAAAATATTGCAATTCCTCGATCGATAAGACAGCATTTGTGGAATCAGAAAATGCATTAAAGTTTAGCCAAGACCAGGATGCTGCCAATTTGTGACCTGGATTGGAGAACACAAACGGATTTCGGAAACTACTTTTACAGGTAGTAGAAGGGGAAAGTTTATAACAAGCACAAACCAAGTAAATATCTGTCTTTCTTACTTTCAACCCGGACAACGTTGATTGCTTGTTGAAACAGAGACATTAGGTTTATTAGAAGATGTTAATAGCTCCATGATTTTTCTTGAGAAAACATAAAAATTGCGAGGATCTGACCTTTGAAATTATGAATGGATTTGACAGGGTAGATACAGAGATAATGTTACCACTTGTGGGAGAATCCCACATTAGGGATGTGCAGGTAAAATGTGGAACTCACTCCCACAGGAGGTGGTTAAGGCAAAGAGCTGAGATGTCTTTGAAAAGAAGCTAGACAAATGCATGAAAGAATAAGAGTCAATGGCTGTATATAGCCATTCAATGAAGCTTGTTTATCTGATGGACTATTTCTGTTCTATAGATCCTGCGTAATTCTGGGTAAACTACTATTACAGGGTATTAGGAACGAATGATTTGGAGACCAGAAATAGAAATCAGCTATCATGTTGAAATCTGACACATTACTTTTTAAATAATCAAGTATCATTGTGCTTTGCATATTCCTTATTCTATATTCAATCATAACTGGAACATAAAAACCATCAGGACACACAGTCCACAGAATGCAGGGCTGTGGAAAGACCTTAAGCTCCTTCCTCAGCACGAGTGAGAACATTCCAGTGAACTGACTGTGGAAAGAGCTTTAACCAGTTGCACAGCCTCAAATAACAACATTCTCTTCTCAGTGGGGAGAGACATGCTCTGTGAACAAAGGTCAAAGTGACAACCAAAGGCATCGATAATATGGAGAAGCTGTGGCAATGCAGCAACTGTGTGAAGGGATTTAATTATCCAGACCAACTGGAATCACAGCATCGCAGACACACCGGGGAGAGGCCATTGTCCTGCTCCACATGTTCGAAAATTTTCACAGAATTATTCAAACTATTTATGCACATGGGAATTCACACTGGAGAGAGGCCATTCACCTGTTTGATGTGTGGGAAAGGCATTCACTAATTCTTCTAACCTTCTGGTCCACCACCACCCTCACAGAGGAGGGAGGCCATTTATCCTGACTCTCTGCTTTCTGTTAGTTTGTCAATCCTCCATCCAAGCAAATAAATTACCCTTACCCAATGTAACCTTACCTGCTGCGTTAACCTTTTGTGCATATGCATTGTGATTCAATTTCATTTATTGAAATTTTGGGGGTTTTTTTGAGTTAATAATTGCTATGTTTTCTATGCATCTGAAGTTAATAATTATCTTGTATTACTGTAGCCATGGTGATTTATTTTAACATAGTTTTTTTGATGTCTGGCTGTAGTCTGAATGCCTGTGTGTGTGCATCACTAATGGATTTTTTGTTCATCTTAGATTGTTTTGTGATCCAATAAGGAAAATAATGGAGCCTCAAGGTTTGGTAGAGACTTCAAGGACTTTTTTTTTTTAAAAAGCTTAGACAGGGAGACTTTAGGTTTTGGTGTGACTTTGAGTTCTAAGCAATCCTTGAGATTGTTGGAATAGGATAGCTGTGCAGTACAGTGCTCCAAAGGCTGAAGGAGATATAGTGATCTAGGTAGCATCAGAATAAGCAGTTAGTGTTAGTCCCACACCAGAAGTGTTGTGATGAAACCCTGAATCAGTTATTTAAAGCTGAGTATTTTTAAGGTTGGGTATATAGTAGCTCCAGGGAGAAGCTTTGCAGGTCCAGTCCAAAAGTTAAATCCATAAGTGTGTTAAACCTACTAAAGTGTAGATAAAGGGACTCTGGTGCGAGTACTGCACAAGTCTTCGGATACAGAGTAGGTCATTTAGGACTGAGGCAAGGAAATATTTATTCACTGAAACGGAAGTGAACTTGTGGAATTCTCTCTCACAGAATGCGGTGAAGCCAAGTCACTGAATATATTCAAGACAGAGATGGATGTTTTTTGAGATTTTAAAGGCTTCAAGGAGTGTGGGGACAAAGCAGGAACGTGGTACTCAGATTAAGATGAGTGATGATCATATCGAATGGCAGAATAGGCTCGAAGTCTGAATGGCCTACTCCTGCTCCCAGTTTCTATGTTTCAATGAGTGGTGTGTTGGGTAATGTAGAACAGCAGTTTTGTTTCTTTTCAATTTATAACTGAGTTTTTGGGATTTGTGGGATTGTACATTTACTGGGTTTTTAGACAGAAAACTTTTGAATTTGTATTATAAGTAAATGCTTTAGTTTATACTATTTTATATCGTCTCTTTTACTAATTAACTTCTATTTTATTGTTAAAGCAAAATCTGCAGTTCTATACACTTATGTTTAAGAGAGAGACCACATTGTTAAAACCAACAAATCAAAATATCAAGATAACAAGGTGTAGAGCTGGATGAACACAGCAGGCCAAGCAGCATCAGAGCAGCAGGAAGGCTGACATTTCGGGCCTAGACCCTTCTTCAGAAATGGGGGAGGGGAAGGGGGTTCTGAAATAAATAGGGAGAGAGGGGGAGGCGGATAGAAGATGGATAGAGGAGAAGATAGGTGGGGAGGGGACAGACAGGTCAAAGAGGCGGGGATGGAGCCAGTAAAGGTGGGTGTAGGTGGGGAGGTAGGGAGGAGATAGGTCAGTCCAGGAAGGACGGACAGGTCAAGGGGGCGGGATGAGGTTAGTAGGTAGGAGATCGGGGTGGGGCTTGAGGTGGGAGGAGGGGATAGGTGGGAGGAAGGACAGGTTAGGGAGGCGGGGACAAGCTGGGCTGGTTTTGGGATGCGTTACGGGGAGGGGAGATTTTGAAGCTTGTGAAGTCCACATTGATACCATTGGGCTACAGGGTTCCCAAGCGGAATATAAGGTGCTGTTCCTGCAACCTTTGGGTGGCATCATTGTGGCACTGCAGGAGGCCCAGGATGAACATGTCATCTGAGGAATGGGAGGGGTTGTTGAAATGGTTCGCGACTGGGAGGTGCAGTTGTTTAGTGCGAACCGAGTGTAGGTGTTCCGCAAAGCGGTCCCCAAGCCCTTGGTTTCCCCGATGTAGAGGAGGCCACAACGGGAACAGCGGATACAGTATGCCAGATTAGCAGATGTGCAGGTAAACATCTGCTTGATATGGAAAGTCTTCTTGGGGCCTGGGATGGGGGTGAGGGGGGAGGTGTAGGGGCAGGTGTAGCACTTCCTGCGATTGCAGGGAAAAGTGCCGGGTGTGGTGGGGCTGGAGGGGAGTGTGGAGCAGACAAGGGAGTCCCGGAGAGAGTGGTCCCTCCGGAAAGCAGATAAGGGTGGGAAGGGAAAAATGTCTTTGGTGGTGGGGTCGGATTGCAGATGGCGGAAGTGTCGGAGGATGATGCGTTGGATCCGGAGTTTGGTGGGGTGATACGTGAGGATGAGGGGGATTCTGTTTTGGTTGTTATTGCGGGGAGGGGGTGTGAGGGATGAGTTGTGGGAAATGTGGGAGACACGGTAGAGGGCGTTCTCGACCACTGAAGAAGGGAAGTTGCGGTCCTTGAAAAACGAGGACATCTGAGATGTACGGGAGTGGAATGCCTCATCCTGGGAGCAGATGCGGCGGAGGCGAAGGAATTGCGAATAGAGGATGGCATTTTCGCAGGAAGGTGGGTGGGAGGAGGTGTATTCCAGGTAGCTGTGGGAGTTGGTGGACTTGAAATGGATATCGGTTTCCAGGTGGTTGCCAGAGATGGAAACAGAGAGGTCCAGGAAGGAGACAGAGGTATCAGAGATGGTCCAGGTGAACTTAAGGTTGGGGTGGAAGGTGTTGGTGAAGTGGATGAACTGTTCGAGCTCCTCGTGGGAGCACGAGGCGGCACCGATACAGTCATCAACGTAGCGGAGGAAGAGGTGGGGTTTAGGGCCAGTGTAGCTACAGAAGAGGGATTGTTCCATGTAACCTACAAAGAGGCAGGCATAGCTTGGGCCCATGCGGGTACCCATGGCCACCCCCTTTGTCTGTAGGAAGTGGGAGGAATTGAAAGAGAAGTTCAATCAAAATATCAGTTTTCTGTCTGGCTTGTCCAACAATAAAATCATCTGAGATCATTCTAACAGGTGGAGAACCACTGGCAGCACTTGACAGGACACTAGAGTTCATTGAATTTGAAAGGGACCTGTGTCTTTCTTGTTAAAGTAACAACTACAGAATGGTGTTTAGACATGAAATGTGGGCTTTAAATGTGGCTCAGGGTTTTCTGGAAGTGGGAGATTGAACAGTGGATTATCTGAAATCTTTGATGAAAGCTAAACTCAGAGTTAGCAGATAAATTGACAGTAGAAGAAAGAATAGGATCTTGTGAGGATGAAATATTTCAGGTCGCTATCCAACATTTAGAATTGGAAGAAAGGATGTCACAGTTGGAATTAGCTGATGCATAGTTATAAATGAAAAAAGACAGGACTTCCAGAAAGAGAAATAAAAATAAGACTTGCAATTGAGGAAAATGAAAAACAGTATGTAATGAAATGAGAAGACAATGAAAAACAGGGAATAATGGAGAGAAAGGAGAGAGAAAAGCAGTGAGAAATGAAAAATGATAGATTGAGAAAAGTAAACTCCAGAGAGATAAGGAAATTAGAGAACATGAGTTTGCCAGAGGAAGGCTTAGAACAGAGAAGGAAGAAACAGGTTGTAGTCTGAAGGGTGGTTAGATTCAATTGAGGGAATTGATTTATCCAAGAATCCATGCTTTGTGGCTAAATTTAAAAGGACGGAGTCAAAACATATTTTTCCTCATTTCAGAAGGTAGTTGGACAGACGAAATGGGATCAGTAATTAGAAAAGTCAAGTAGAGAAATGTTTTGAGAATGTAAGGGAAATTATTATCACGGAATAGTTCAAAAGCATCTTTCAAATTTATAAATTATTTAGATGAGCATCAAATATTGAAGATCATTGAAGCAGCAAATCTGGCAGATACACATACTGTCTCATATTGACAATTACATGTGGAGAAATGGACAGGTGGAGATCTTTCATCTCACCTGATCTTAGTTACCAGAGATGTTCTTCTCTCTTTCTTGCACAGTCAATTCTTGTAGAAACCAAAAGGGAATGTGGTGTGAGAAAAAGTGCGGCTAGCTCCTTCTAACACACAGTCAGTACGTCATCACACCTCGAGTGAAGGCAGAGGATCTAGATGATAGAAAAGTGAGAATTCAAACAGTGTGGGAAAAGCAGCATCTGCACACAAGAACAAGATAAAGTTTCCAGCCTGAAAGAGAAGTTTATGGGCTGACAGAGAGTTAAATACACAAATGGAATGAAGCTGAAGCTCAAAATGCAGCTTTGATCATATGACAGTGACATCAAAGGGCCTGGCTAGAAGCTGGCCATAACTGGGTGTTAAGTATTACAGGTTATCATGAATTAGAAATGAAAATAGACCATAGAGCAACTGGCAAAATAAGGAAGGCTACTTTATGATGCAGTTGTAATGATGGATTAAAGATAATCAAAAGCAATATGGAGATTTCGTTTGAATAAAATAAAGAACTGCAGGTGCTGGAAATCTAAAACTAAAACAGAAATTGTTCGAGAAATTCAGCAGGTCTGGCAGCATCTGTGAAGAGAAATATTAAATCTGCTTTCTCTGTACAGATGCTGCCGCAGCTTCTGCGGAGTTTCTCCAAACATTTCTATTGTTAGGTTAGAGATTCCGTTGTTAAAATTTGTGGCATCATGTGTTCTTTCAGAAATAGACATTTTACAACAAAACTCAAACATTGTACTGGGAATCCTACATTTTGATAGACGAGAACAACTGGCATAGTTCAGACATTTTCTGAACTCATCCTTTTTTTTTTTTTAAGTTCCTCTCCAATCTCCCACAATGATCTCTGACTCTCTTCTCACCTGCCACTTCACTGGCCCTATTCTCACTAAGCTACTCACCAACACCAATACAGCAGAAAATACAGTTCAACAGCAAGGATAGGCCATTTGGCTCCTCGAATCTGCTTCGCCATCAATAGGGCCATGACTGATCTGATTGTGGTTTCAGCTTCTGGTCTGCTCCTGATATTCTTTGACTCACTTGTCGATCAAAAGTTTAACTACCTCTGCAGTGAATATCTTTCATGACTATCATTATTACTCTTTGGGGAATTGAGTTCCACGGGCTTATCCATTAACAGAAAAAAAGCGGAATACTAAATAAAAACTGAAAGAACTGCGAATACTGTAAATCAGGAACAAAAACAAAGAACTCTGAGGAAGGGTCACTGGACCCGAAATGTTAACTCGGTTTTTAACTTCACAGAAGCTGCCAGACCTGCTGTGCTTTTCCAGCAACTTTGTTTTTGTTCCTGATCTCAGAGGATACTGAGTAATGATCAATAGATATTTTTGAGGCTGAAGGAAGGTTTGGAGTGAAGTTCCCCAGGGGTTAGTATTGGGACTCATGCTTTTATTGGTAAGTCTTAATAATCTAGATCATGATGTGCAGGGTCAATCTCAGAGTTTGTAGATTGTAAACTGAGGAGAAGATTGTGTGGTATTCAAAAAGGACATTGACAATGTGGAGTGGATGGATATTCGGCAGATGAGGTTCAACGCAGAGAAGTGTGAAGTGATGCCCTTTGGCTGGAAGAACTTTGGAAAAGAATATACAATAAGGAGTACGCTTCTAAAGCAGCAGAGGGACCTGGGTGTGTATGTGCACAAATCATTGAACGTGACAGGACAGGTGGGAAGAGCAGTTAATAAAGAATATAGTGTTCTCAGCTTAATTAATAGAGCATAGAGCAAGGTGGTGATGGAAGAAGTTGGGACTGTTTTCAATGGAGAAAAGAAGACTGAGGAGATTCAATACAAAATGGGCTGGAGTTTAGGGAGTTGTTCTCACTCGTGAAAGAGAAATGAACAAGATAGCATCAATTTAAAGTGATGTTCAAATAAAGTAAGCGATGTGAGAAAAAAAAACACTCTTACACAGCAAGTAGTGAGGATATGGAGTGCACTGCTTAGAATGTGATGGATACAGATTCAATTGAGGCATTCAACAGGACTTTGGACGATTAATTGGACAAGAACTGATCTGCAAGGATATGGGGATCAGGCAGAAGATTAGTATCAGATAATAGAACCATGGCTGGCATGATGGGCTGAATGCACCACAGCAATTCTGTGATCTGAATCTTAAATCTGAGGTCCTTCATTTTTACACTGTATCTCCTAGAATGCTCTCTCCGATAAGGAGAGCATCATTTCGGCATCCATTTAACAGATGCCTGAGGATCCTGTGTCTTAATTAAGCCACTGTTCAATCCCAATCCAGGAGAGGCAATCTCGACATGCTCAACTGGTCAGTGTCAGTGCGCACGCGCACAACTTCCGGAAGAACGCGACGGTTGCGCATGGGCACTGTACCGCAGCGCCGCCAAAGTGGAAACAGCGGTTAGTCGGGGGCCCTGTCAATGGAGACGCAGCAAACACGTGGCATTGGACTAACCATGCGATAGGTACTTTCTTTTTCTAGTTTCAGGCCTACCGTGGGGTGTTCTGATGATATCCAGCCCTCCCATTGCCTCTCACCCCGGGCACAGACTCTACAACAGACTTTCCGCGAAGAACGACCCGCTTCCCGGGCCCGACCTTCATGCTACGCCTGCGCACTAACCTCCAGCGACCGCATATAGACTGCGCATGCTCGGTTCGCTTTTCCCTCTGATTGGAGGAGGTGGTTGGGGTGGAGGACCTATCAGGCGAAGCTGCTCCTCCAACCAATCACAGTGAATCTACCGCCCTCCTTCATTGGCTGAAACTGCCTGAATTGGAAATCTGATTCAGTGTCAAACTCCAGGATAAAACTGGAGCTTTTCGTAACACAAATTGGGTCGAAACGTTGACTCTGCTCTGTCTCCATAGATGTTGCCTGACCTAATGAATGTCACCAGCTATTTCTGTTTTTTTTTGTTTCAGATGTGGGAGTGGAGCAAATGCATAAAGAATACAAAGGCTGACTTAGGATGAGAATAGATAAGCCTTTCTGCTCCTATGATGCTGCTTGGCCTGCTGTGTTCATCCAGCCCTGCACCTTGTTGTCTAGCAATTTATTGTCACGTGTATTTTTACAAAACTGCTTTATAAATCGCCCTATCATTGCACATGTATTAATGATACAAGCCATAGGTAAGAAGTAAAAAGTGAAAATAAAGACAGTTCATCTCAGATCAATTTCAGTTGGGGATAATTAATTAAGACAATGTATGCTGGAGTACCCTGAAGTCTGGCTGAGGACCTCTATGCTGGCTCAAGGCCACCAAACCTGGAGACAGCACACCAAACAGAGAAAAATTAAAAAGGTGACAGAGTCAATGAGCTCCTGAGCTGAGGAGCCTGCAGGCTGTGCTGCTACACTGCGTCCATCTTGCTTCAACTGGTTCAGCCTGAACTGAAACATATTATTGAGACATGAGCACCACGTTTTAAGACAAAGTAAAAGGCTTTCAAGAGGATCCAAAGAACACTTCCAAGAATCAGTCTGGGAATGAGTCATGTCAGTTATGTGGACAGATTGGAAATTGATGCTGGTATCTAGTAGGTAAGTTTTGAGAAATTGTATTTGGAGCAGAGAGCACCAGCACCTTCAATTTAGTATTGAAAGTATTTCACATTGTAAGTATTAATTAAGTTAAAAGGGGTAAAGCATGGCAGGAGAGCTCCAAATCATAGTAGAATGTGGGTGGCACAATTGCTCAGTGATTGTGAGCAGCACAGTGGCTGAGCAGTTAGCACTGCTGTCCAAAGATATACAGGTTAGGTGGATTGGTCATGCTAAATTGCCCATAGTGTCCAGGGATATGCAGGCTAGGTGGATTAGCCATGGGAAAAGCAAGGTTACAGGGATGGAGTAGGGGGTGGGTTAGGTGGGATGCTCTTCATAAGGTTGGTGTGGACTCGATGGGCTGAATGACTTGCTTCCACACTGTTGGGATTCAATGATTCCAGACTCCAATATAAAGCAGTGAACATTATCCCCTAGATCCCACTCTAAAACAGAGAACATTACCTCTTCAGATCGAAATATTAACAGTGAACCTTTCTCCTCCCACAGTCTCCTGACCTGAACATTGCTGAGCTGGAGCCTTGTGAAAAAAAAGACATCTCTTACTCAGATGGACTTTTCTCATAGTTTCAGAGTGCATAAGTTACCCCCACCCCACCAGCCCGCCACACCACAGTCACATCGTGAAGCAGATCAGGCTAGAAATAATCAGGAGCCCAGGCAGTAACTGTGTCAGAGATACAGAGCCAATCTTTGTCGGTGGCCTTTCATTTGAACTGGGCAAAAATGGAAATATGTCTGATTAGTGAAAAGGGCACTTACTTTCAGATTTCAAAATTGAGTTCTTCATCATCCTTGCCCCATTTTATTCTTGCTGTTTATTGTTTTGTTATTTCCCCACCTTTCTTGATTATTTTCTTTCATTTGCATTCAGGAAATTGCTCTTTTGCTATTCACATTGCCTCCAAAAAAAAGTGTCTTCATTTGTCCCATTCCCACTCCCTCTGATCCTGTTGTCAGCAAATCACTCCTGTCCTGTACCCTGTGTCTGAGTAACTAAAGTCCATCTAACATTATGGATTTCCTCACTTCTCCTACCACTAATCAGGGTATATAGTAACAGGCATCCACAGAGATCTTTTCAGTGAGTTCCATTTAACAGGTATGTTAAAGTGTCAGTTCTGAGTTGATAAAACTCCCTCGAGCCAGGTGGAAGTCACACCTACAATCTTCTAATCCATAGTCAGACGCATTATCCATTGCACTGCTGGCCCATGCTACAGGAACGAATAGCAGAATATGAGTCATTTCTGCCAAGTTGTGGTTTTGATGAGTAAATGAGCAACAATGGTAACCCCACAAGCTGAACATTCAGCAAGAAACTCATCTTCATTGCTTGACCTAGTTCACCCTGAACACTGGTGAATTCACTGGAAAGCAAAGACAGCACACCTCACTTTCAGATCTTCACTTTGCTAAAACAGTTCACAAACCTCCAGTGATACAAAAAAAATGAACTGCAGATGCTGGAAATCAGAAACAAAGAAATTAATTGCTGGAAAACTCAGCAGGTTAGCAGCATCTGCGGAGAGAAATCAGAGTTAACGTTTTGAGTCAGTGACGCTCCTTCATATTGGTCTGATTTCTGATTTTGTTTGGGGATATAAAACTGATTTGATGGAAAAAAGAATTGGCATTTCAAAGCTATTTTTTTTATCAAAAGAAAACTTCTGTAGTTGAGAAGTTTATTTTGTTCCCAAAACCTACAGATGAGCTGCAGTTTGAAAGACATGAAAAGAACATAAAAATACAGTACAATGTCACCTGGTGACCTGGGTCCCGCCTCTTCTCAGACTGGCAGAGAGTTAATGCTTTCTGCTGACAGCTCTGGTTTGCTGTGTTAGCTCAGTTCATACTGGAGTAGAATTAGACCATGATAGAGAAAGAGACCCTTTGGTGCACCAGTCCACATCGACCATGTTCCCAAACTAAACTAGTCCTGCCTGCCTGTACTTGGCCCATATCTCTCCAGACCATTCCTCCTCATGAACTTATCTAAATGTCTTTTAAATGTTGTAACTGTACCTGCATCCATTATTTCCGCTGGTAGTTTATTCTACTCATGAACACTCTGTGTAAAAATGTTGTCCCTCAACCTTTTCAAATCTTCCTCCTCTCATCTCAAAAATATGTCGCCGAGCGTTGAACTCTCCCGTCCTAAGGAAAAGACCCTTGCCATTCACATTATGTACATCCCTCGTGATTTTATGAGCCTGCTACGCTGCATTAAAAAAATTCCCAGACTTTCCAGTCTATTTTATATCTCCCATCCCCAGCAACATCTTGGTAATCTTTTCTGAACCCTCTCCAGTTTAATAATATCCTTCCTGTAACAGGGCATCCAGAATTGCACACAACACTCCAGAAGATGTACTTCCTGTACATCCTCAACATGACGTCCCAATATCTATACTCAAAGGTCTGAGCAATGAAGGCAAGTGGGCTAAACATGTTCTTAACTCCCTTGTCTACCAGTAAAGCAAATTTCAAATAATCATCTCCCTGAACTCCTAGGGTTTTCTGTTCTACAACCCTTCCCAGAGTCCTACCATTACTTGTGTAACTTCTGTCTTTGTTGTATTAGCAAAATGTAGTACCTCGCATTTATCCAAGTTAAACCCCAACTGCCAGTCATCAGTCCATTGACCCAATTTATCAATATTTCTTTGTAATCTCAGATAACCTACTTCCCTGTCCGCTATACCACCAATTTTGGTGTAATCTGCAAACTTACTAATCATGCCTCCTATACTCTCATCCAAATCATTTATATAAATGATAAACAAAAGTGAACCCAGTACCAATTCCTGTGGAACACAGCTAGTCACAGGTCTCCAGTCCGAAAGACAACCCTCGACCACCACACTCTGTCTCCTGTGTAGAGACAATTATGTATCCAATTGGCAAGCTCACCCCGAATCCAATGTGATTGAACTTTGCTAATTAGCCTACCATGCAGAACTCTGCTGAATTACATTCCACATTGGTCCAGGAATTCCAAGCAGCAAAGAATTTTAAGAACATCTCATTCTGTCTCCCCGCTCCTGGGATGGTGTTGTTTGTCCCTTTTTCCCTAGGACGGGGCTCTCTCCTTTGGTGGATTATTCAACCATTTTCTTCCACTCGAAACAGAGTTTTGAAATATTCACAAAACTGAAGACTAGGTTTCAGTTTTGTTTCCTTTCCATGTTTCCACCGACCAATTGACATTATTTTTTTCCAAAAACCTTGTTGCAATCCTCCAGCTTCATCATGCCTAGGGATGAGGCAATTCAGTGTTGTGGAGAGATTCCAGAGGTTGGGATTATTCACTTTAGAGCGAAGAAGATTAAACAGAGATTTCATGGTGCTGGTGTTTGGATGGAAGAGCTAGTGAGAAGCTGTTTTCACAGACCAGGATCAATAAACAGAGGATTGGGATTTTAGAACATTGAAGAAAGACGGAGTTGCAGTTATAGAGCACTTTTCACCACCAATGATGAACCCAATGACCATGGGAAGAGGTTCTTTAAAACTTGCTTCCTTCTTCTCCCTGTGTGATATATTGTTGTATTAGCAAAATTTAGTACCTCACATTTATCCAAGTTAAACCCGATCTGCCACTCATCAGTCCATTGACCCAATTCATCAATATTTCTTTGTAATCTCAGATAACCTTCTTCCCTGTACGCTTTACCACCAATTTTGGTGTAATCCGCAAACTTACTAACCATGCCTCCTATATTCTCATCCAAATAATTTTTTTAATGACAAACAAAAGTGAACCTTAGGGATCCCAGATTGACCTCTGCATCATTGACGTCGCACTTACTCCACCCTTTTATTCATTCAGGGGATGACAGCATCGCTGGCTAGGCCAGCACTTATTGCCCATCCCTAATTGCCCAGAGGGCAGTTAAGAGTCAACCACATTGCTGTGGGTCTGCAGTCACATGTAGGCCAGACCAGGTAAGGATGGCAGTTTCCTTCCCTAAAAGACAATAGTGAACCAGGTGGGTTTTTCCCCTGACAATCAGCAATGGATTCATGGTAATAATTAGACTCTTAATTCT